AAACCTTTTTCCTTTATAAATTACCCAGTCTCAGGCAGTTCCTTATAGCAACATGAGAACTGACTAATACACCTAGTCTAATCAACTATGGAAAAGCAAACATGAAACCATCCCTTCAGCAGTGAGTATGGGTTATCCATTTTCTTCTGAAAGGGAGTGGTTGTATGGGAGGTACCCTGAGGTTTGGTTGGCCTGGTACACTCAAAATAGCCTGTGTTTTCTGTCCCCAAGGCTTTGCTCATGCTTTTTTTTCTACGCCCTTTTCCCCATCCCTTTTTTCTATGTTTTTTGTATTTCAGGCCATCTTTTCAAACCTCTGCACAAATGGTGTCACCTGCATCCAGTCATTCCTGTAACTCCTTTTCAGGCTTACAAGTTGGTAGTTTAATTTTATAAAAGTCAGTAACACAGTGCTTTAAACTGGATCCCTAAACCTGGCTGTGTATCAGCAGTACCTCAGTAGCTTGAAATACAGACTCCTGGGTCCCATTCTTAATCGCTTGACCTAGAATTCAAAGTTTGTAGCAATGTTTTATTATTGTTTCATATTTAAACTCTTTATGTGATTTTTATGTAACCATCCAGCTGATTCAGTATTTGGAATCTGTTGATTTAGACTGAAATTATTTGATATAAACATTGACTTTTAGAATTAGAAGGAGCCTTAGAAATAGAATATTTTCACCTTCATGTTTTTAATTTGTGGGCAGAGGGACCAGGAAGAAGACACACGAGAAATTACTTGCTCAGATCTCATTGCTGGTTACTGGCAGAGCCAGGACTAAACATTGCATTTGTTTCCTCTCATTCAGAACTTTTATTCATATTCACATTGGACATCCCCTTCTACATAGTAAGGTTTGAATACTCCAAGGGGCTCAATACATAGTAGATGATGGTCAGATGTTTTACTGATAATGACTGTTTCTAACCCACTTTGTATAATACCTAGCACATTTTTTGGCTCGTAACGATTGCTGCTTGAATATGTTGTTAACCCTCAGTTCACACTCAAGGAATGCCTTTCTGATAGTTGGAGATTACTTCAACGATCAGCGTGAAATCATCTCAGAAAAATTCTTTCCAAAACTAGTTCCAATCTGAATGGCCTCTAAAAGGCTTACTGAACCAAACTGAATTCTGGTATGGCTTTGAAAGTTGTTACTTTCCAAGAACCCCTCTAAGCCTAGATCAATTTAGGCCTGTAGGGTTTTCCTCACTAGTACACTTCCATTTGAGAAAGGTTACCCAGAATCTACGAGATTGTGGGGTGGGAGAGGCGTATACCAAAATAAGGCGTGGGACCAGGGTCAGGAAAAGGCTTGTGGGAAGTTATGGTAGCCTAAGCTGAGCTTCAAAGGATGTTGTAGGCCAGGGGAGGGAGTTGGAACAAAAGCATGGACAGCTTTGGGGAATGGCAAGTTGTTTAGTTTGACCAGAGGATAAATTAGAAGTTAGGGAGCGACTAGAAGTATAAATGGGGGCCAGGTTAAAATGCAGTATTTTACAATTTCATATCCACATGCAAAAGAATGAAACTGAAGCCCTATCCGACACATAAAATTCACTCAAAAGTAGATTATAGACTTAAATTTAAGAAAACTATGGAACTCTTAGCAAAAAAAAAAAAAAATCACAGGAACAAAATATTTGTGACCTTGGATTAGGCAAATAGTTTCTTAGCTATAACACGTAAAATACAAGAAACAAGAATTAGTTAAGTTGGACATCATCAAAATGAAAAAATGTTGTGTTTCAAAGGATACCCATAAGAAAATGAAAAGACGGCCCACAAAATTGGAGAAAATATTTGCAAATCATGTGACTGGTAAGGGATTTATATCCAAAATATATATAAATAAACAATTTAAAATGGACAAAGAATTAGATAATTCTCCAAAGAAGGTATTCAAATGGAAAATTGAAAACAGGTCCACACAAAAATGTGTACACTGATGTTTATAGGACTGTTATTCATAATAGCCATAAAGTGGAAACAACCCAAATATGGTGTTTCCATAGAATGGAATACTATTTGGCAGTAACACGTAAGTGAGTTGGAGACATGGATGAATCTGAAAACATTACACCAAGTCAAGGAAACCAGTCACAAAGGACCATGTATTATTTGATCCCATTTATATGAAATGTCTACAATAGTCAAATCCATAGAGATGGAAAGTAAATTAGTAGGGTGCCAGGGATTGAGAAGCAGAGGAATAGGGAGTGACTGCTAATGGGTCTGGGGTTTCTTTTTGAGGTGATGAAAATGTTTTAAAATTGAATGGTATAGTTACATAACTCTGAATATACTAAACACCACTGAATCATACACCATGAAAGAGTGAACTTCATGGTATGTGAATTCTATTCCAATAGAGCTGTTATGAAAAGTGCTGTGTTTAGTGAAAACTTTAAATACTCTGACAGGGAATTTGGATTTTTGTCTTTAAAGCAATGGTGTGTACTCCCGTGGAGTTGTAAGTCGAGAACAGCATGATGAGAACATCACTGTGGGAGCATTTGAAGAATGGTGGTCAGATCAGTGATGCGGCAGACTAGATCAAGCTGCTTAGAATATTTTATTCTGTTTTCTGCCCTTAACAAGTATGAACATTTTACGTTACTAATTCTGAATTCAAAATTTTTAACTTTACACATGTTCATATTTTATAATTTCTATCTTGCTCTCATTTTTTAAAAATGAACTGTTCAAGGTGATTGAAAAAAGAATAGCAGTTGCAGAATGTTAGAGATAATACTGATTTTTAAATTTACCTTTGTGTGTAACCTTGACTACTGTCAATTTACAGATAGCAAAATATGATTTATTTTAGCCGGAAGACCAAGATTCTTGGTGAATCATAATGCTTTAAAGACCATTCATTAATAAACATGGATTTTGATAAGGAAAGCCTTAGAAGTGAAGTTTCTTAAGGGCTTTTAATTATCTCTTTCCCCTTCTTTTTGTGAAATATCTAAAAACTGCCAAATAAATTACATATTTGAAGATATTTCTAACGTCATAGAAGGCAAAGAACAGTAATCATTTTAGCTCTATGTTTAATTAATCCTAAAGAACTGTAATTTAAAAACTGTTAGCCTTTAGGAAATTGTAGACTGATTTACCTTTTGAAATAATTGTATTCATAAGTCAACCCTATAGTAAATATTGACTTTGTAAACCACTTATCAGTAGTTAGTGTCATATTTTTTCTGTTAAATATATGCTGATGTTAACTATTAGTAAATCTATTTTTAGAAGAGTACATTGTGTACTGCAACCATTTTGGACAGATACTGTATAACTTGTAAATAGAGAGTGTGCCCTCCTGTGGTCATTAGGAACAAAATCTCAGCTATAATCACCCTAGCTTTCTGAGTTTACATTTGTCTGCTCTTCCGTAGTAGAATTACCCATAATCTCAATTTCTTCTCAATAAGTAAAAAACCATAGCATGATGGCAGTTGTCTTATTTGGTGGAGATGCTAAGAAAATAAAAGGACAGTGGGTAAAGGAGAAGCCTACTAGAGAAAAGATATCAGTGTGAGGAGAGGCAAGTAGTTGTTATAGTGCTTGAGAAGCTTTATGACTATTATACCTGAATATTGTTCAGGTACACCCTGCCTCTTTTACAGAATGCTCCCAGAATGATATTCTGTTTTTTTTTTCTATTTGATCATTTATGTATCTTTTGATCCTAGAGAAAGGAACAAGTATCCAGCACTGTCTGTTTAAAACATCTATCGCATTTTATGGAAATCAAGTTTAATTTGAAATAAGTGTTCAAATGTTTTGTACTGCCTTGAGTGTTTATTAGTTATGGGGATTTTGTTTGAAGGAACAATTTTTAAATGAATTTTCCCTGCAAATTTTATTTTATTAATTTATATGAGATCTTTTAATATCTTTGTTAGAGTTAAATGGTTAAATTTTATGTTTTCAGCAGTGGCTGTGTCTCATATCTTAAGATCCTTGGCTGGCATTTTTAGTGCCCTAGTATTCTTAGAAGAATTCCACTATTAATGGTGTTATCACCTCTTGCCAGGTCTTCACCAGTCCATTAATAAGGGAGTGTTGCAACTAGGAATAATCCTGGTCATATGAATGGATCTTTCTGTGATCAGGGAATGGTATATATTGTTTTTCATTGGTAATATGAAAATTAATTTATTAAGTTTCAGTTAACAGTTTAAAATATCAAGTTGAAAATTCTGATCCAATTATAAAGCATTTTGAAATGACAGTTGCTGCCATTTTAATATAGTTTCTGCCTATTTAGATACATAATTACACGGTTGTAAATGCCAGGAACCTAATATTATGATTTGATTTTTTAAAGTGATTTTTAATATATGGCTTACAAAAATAGATTTGTTTTGCATTGAACTACATGTATTTGACTGTATCATCAGGTGTGTTTAAAAGGATGCAGGGGGCCCGTTTTCATAATTATATACACAATCGTGTTAGCCTTTCATATCCTATAGCTTTTAAATGAAAAATTTAAGGCTAATTAGCTCAACTAGCCTTTGAATGAATAGCAGTACAGTGTAATGCTTAAGGCTCAGGCTATGGAGTTAGACTGAATCCCAGCATTTTCAGCTTACTGGCTATATGCCCTTGTTAAGTTCTTTCGAGTTCTGTGTCCTTTAGTTTCCTCACTTTCAAAATGAGAATAATATCAGTACCTACTTTATAAGATTGTTGTGAGGATTAAATGAATTAATATTAAAATATTTAGGACAGTGCCTGACATATCCATACTAAGATCTGTGTGTATGTTAACTATTAATATTATTATTGCCAATATTAAATTTATACATTAAAGTTGAAGTTTATTGTGAAGGATAAACTTTGTTTTGTAAATATAAATCCTACTTGCATTTATTTAAAAATATTTTTATATAACTGAAAACAGCTAAAATGCAGTTTTATTTGCTTTTTGTGAAAGCTTTCTTCACAATAATCCTTTTTTTCCTTTTTTGTTTCCTTTTAGGCACGGAATGTTAACACTGGTGAATTAGCAGCAATTAAAGTAATAAAATTGGAACCAGGTAAATGATTTGAAATTTGTATTTTCTTATTGCGAGAAAGCCATTGGATAACCTAAGGCTTATTTTAATGATGTTTCGTCAACATCCTCTTGTTTTCCTCAACATCTTCTGGGATAAATAGAACCGGTTGTATGCTCTTTCCTCCACTTCTTTGAGTTCTGCATACACCTTGCTCAATTCTTCCCTGAAAAATAACTTATAACTGAGAGAGAAGGGGAACTCCTGAAAAGCCTTTGTTCTTTCTGAACTCAGTTAAGCTAACTTGTGACAAGCTGATAGTGGTTTATTTCCAGGTCAACGTCTTGTGGTGTCACTGTGATATAGTGGAAAAAACAGAACTGAATTTGGGTATTTGTAGTTCAGTTTGTCTCCGACTCTCTTGCTCTGTGAACTTGGACAAATAGCTTCATGTCTCTGAGTTTCAGTTTTCTTGGTAGATCTAGTTTCCACATTCTGTATTTCATTTGTATCCCAACAGTTACCTACCAAATTGAGCAGCTTATTATAAAGCCCCTTAAAACTACATATTTTTTGTCTGCTTCAACTATGTTCTTTGAATTCCCCCTGCTTCTCTCAAAACCCACATTTTTAAAAGCTAACTATTCATTCTTGTTTATTCTCTCTTAGAAACCCCTTCCTAGTCTTTCGTCTTCCTACCGTAAGCAAGTCTGTAATTGTGCTAGTGTGTAGACTGAGTTCCATAACAATTAGTGCTTTTCTGATGACTTCTTACTTTACAAGCTGATAGTGAGAGTTTATTGGTAAAACATGGTTTAGCTCCAGTATGAACAGAAATCCATTCAGAGACTTTTCAAGGGTGGAAAAACTTTTTCTGTTTTTTATAAAAAGAAAAGACTAAATAGCCAATACTTTAGTCTTTGTAGGCCATGTATGGTCTCTATATACAGTTCTCCCTATTTCCCTGTAGTTTGCTCACTCCTTATTTAGAGGATCAATAAACTTTTTAGAAGTGCTATTAAAATGAAAATTAAGGATGTACTGACTGACTGTGATCCAACCACACAGAAATATAATGAATTTTTTAAAATTTCCAGCTGTACACATTTGCAGATTTTATACAGTCATTATATTCTAAACATCACAAGACAAGATGTTTTTCTTTTTTCTGAATCTCCTATTCTTCAATTTGTAAGAAATTTGAGAAGGATATTTGAAATTGTTGAAATGTTAACTACAAAAGGAGAGATTTGGCATTTAAAGCAAGGCCTTCATTTTTAATCTTTAAGAAGTGACTGTTACTTAATGAAATGGTTCTAATGAGAAGTATTTTGTATGTATACATAATTCCCTCAAATCACCAAATTACCTTCTTTTTCAGGAAGCCTTCCCTGACCATGAGTCTGATTAAGATGACTGCTGACTGAATAGCTCTGCTGTAGCACTGACCATAGCTATATTGTCATTCTAGACTTGCCTTTCTTTATTGCTAAGTTTTAATAAAATTTGTGACCCCAGCACTGAGCTTAGGGCCTGGCACATAGAACTCATTCCATACATCTTAAAATTTCCTTTAGAAAATTAAAAACTTGAAAAAGCTTACTGTTCAAGTCAGTTGTTTTCTGTTCATGAAATGTTCAAGTTGTTACACTGTTAGTCTTCAACACTGCCATGAATATATTTATCAATGTATTAAAAGTAAAATATACAACTGTACAAAAGGAAGAAAATAAAAATCATTTGTATTCTACCACCCAGAGAAAACAAGAGTTATCACCATAAATATGTTTCATCTGTTATGGCTACCCATTTCCTCCCCTGCCCCGCCACCAGTTATTTTAATCCCTCAATCATATAATTTTAGCCCATAGTAGTTTTGTATATATGCCTGAAGTATAAGTATGCAAAATATAATCACAAACAGGAACCCTCATGCACAGCTGGTGGAAATGTAAAATGGTACAACCACTTTGGAAAACAGTTCCTCACTTCCTTAAAATGTTAAACATAAATTTGCCATAATGACCCACCAGTTATTCTCTTGTGTATCTACCGACACGATGATTTCCATGCACAAATGTTTATAGTAGCATTATTCACAATATGTCTCAAAATTGGAAACAACCTACCTGCCCATCAACTGGTGAATGAATATGTTGTATCAATACAATTGAATACTATTAAACAATAAAAACAAGTTGCTGATATATGATATAGCGTAGGTGACCAAAATGTGCTAAGTGAAAGGAGCTAGACACAAGAAACTTAATACTGCATGATTCTGTTTATGTGAAAGTTTCAGAAAAGGCAAATCTGTGGTGTCAGAAAGTTAATCTGGTGAGCTGGGGACAGAGGGGTGGACTAACAATTATTGGATGTGATGCTTCTACAACTTGGTAAACTTACTAAAAACACCATTGAATCATACACTTGAAATTGTTGAACTATCTGATTTTAAAGTATGCCTTAATAAAATTATTAAAGATATATAACTAAAACCATTAACAACATTGCAGCTTTGAACTCCTGGGCTTATGCTGTCCTTCCACCTCAGCCTCCTGAGTAGCTACCACACCCAGCCAACTTTTATTTCTTGTAGAGACGAGGTCTCACTGTGTTGCCCAGGCTGCTCTTGAATACCTGGTTTCAAGTGACCTCTCACCTCAGCCTTCAAAACTGCTAGGATTACAAATATGAGCCACTGTGCCTAGCCTAAATTAGAGTTTTGATGGCCAGTCTTCTACTGTTTGTAAACAAAAATTAAGTCAGAAATTGTCTAGTGCAACATGTTGGATTTTAAGAATTTCTGTCTTGAGCTTGTTACTTTTTCCTTTTTTTTTTTTTTTTTTTTTTAACAACTGATAATCAATTTGAACATGAAGCAAAATAAAACCTTATTTAGACATTTTGACCAAATTGTTTAAATGTTAAGTTACCCCAAGGTGTCTGACCATTGCTTCTTATCTTATTCATGTAGATTTATTGATTGATTGATAGATTGAGATGGAGCCTTGCTCTGTTGCCCAGGCTGGAGTGCAGTGGCATGATCTCAGCTCACTGCAACCTCCACTTTCCCGGTTCAAGTAATTCTCCTGCCTCAGCCTCTTGAGTAGCTGGGATTACAGGGGCACACCACCATGCCTGACTAATTTTGGTATTTTTAGTAGAGACGGGGTTTCTCCATGTTGGCCAGGCTGGTCTCGAATTCCTGACCTCAGGTGATCCACCTGCTTCTGCCTCCCAAAGTGCTGGAATTACAAGCCACCGCACCCGGCCTAATTTAATTTTAATTTTTAAATTTTTTATTGTTTTGAGACAGAATTTTGCTCTGTCACCCAGGCAGAAATACAGTGGCGTGATCTTGGCTCACTGTAATCTCCACCTCCCAGGTTCAGGCGATCTTCATGAATAGCTGGGACTACAGGCATGCACCACCACTCCTAGCTACTTTTTATAGTTTTAGTAGAGACAGAGTTTCATCATGTTGGCCAGAATGGCCTTGAACTCCTGGCATCAAGTGATCCACCTGCCTGGGCCTCTGGAAGTGCCAGGATTACAGATGTGAGCCACTGACCTGCCTGTTTTTTATTTATGTGGGCACATAGTAGGTGTATGTATTTCTGGGTTACAGGAGATACTATGATGCAGGTATGCAATGCATAATAATCACATCAGGATAAATGGGGTATCCATCACCTCAAGTATTTATCCTTTGTGTTTGAAACAGACTGATTATACTCTTCTATTTATTTTTAAATGTATGATTTGATTTTTTTTTTTTTTTTTACTATAGTCACCCTGTTGTGCTAGCAAATACTAGGGCTTATTCATTCTTTCTAATTTCTTGTACCAATTAGCCATCTCCACATCCCTCCCACCCCTCAACCCTGTAAGCTTCTCAGCCTATGGTAACCATCCTTCTACTCTCTATCTCCAGAAGTTCAATTGTTTTGAGTTTTAGCTTCAAATGAGAACATGTGATATTTGTCTTTCTATGCCTGGCTTATTTCTTTTCTTTTTCTTTTTTTTTTTTGGGGGGGGTGGGGGGCTTATTTCACTTAACCTAATGACTTCCAGTTCCATCCATGTTGTTGCAAATGACAGGATCTCATTCCTTTTTATGGCTGAATAGTACTCCATTGTGTATATGTACCACATTTCTTTATTCATTCATTTGTTGATGGACACTTAGGTTGCTTCCAAATTTTGGTTATTGTGAATAATGCTGCAGTAAACATGGGAATGTATATACCCAAAAGAAAGGAAATGAGTATATCTCTTTGGTAAACTCATTTGAAGTATATGAGTGGAATTACAGGATTGTATGTTAGTTCTATTTTTAATTTTTGGAAGAACTTTTAAACTGTTTAAACTGTTCTCCGTATTAGTTATACTAATATACATTTCTATTAATGGTGTATGAGAGTTCCCTTTTCTCCACATTCTTACCAGCATTTATTGCCTGTCTTTTGGATAAAAGGCATTTTGAATAAGGTGAGATAATATCTCATGGTATAGTTTTGATTTGTAGGGTTTTTTCCCCAATAGAGTTGTTTGAGCTCCTTATGTAATTTGGTTATTAATCCCTCATCAGATGGGTAGTTTGTAGATAATTTCTGCCATTCTTGGGGTTGTCTCTTCTCTTTGTTGCCTGTTTTGCTATGCAGAAGCTTTTTAATTTGATGTGATCTCATTTGTCCATTTTTGCTTGGTTGCCAGTGCTTGTAGGGTATTGCTCAAGAAACCTTTTCCCACACCAATGTCATGGAGGTTTTCCCCAATGTTTTCTTGTAATAGTTCCATAGTTTCAGGTCTTAGATTTAGGTCTTTATTTTAATTTGGTGTTTGTATATGGTAAGAGTAAGGGGGTCTAGTTTCAGTCTTCTGCATATGGATATCCATTTTTCTCAGCACCATCTGTTGAAGAGACTGTTCTTTCCCCAATGTATGTTCTTGTATCTTTGTTGAAAATTCATTCACTGTACATGTCTGGATTTATTTCTGGGTTCTCCATTCTATTCACTGACCTATGTGTCTGTCCA